ATAAATTGATTGCGCTAGCTTCGCATCAGAAGGAAGACTATTCCACAATTTAGCTCCGCTATACTTAAAGCTTTTTTTTAGAAATTCTCGTTTTGGTTTAGCAAGGGTAAGGTCAGTATAAGTATTGCGAAGATTATAACTGGTTTGAACAAGGTCCCTTCTCGTTAGAGCATCCTTCAAGTTCGGCCCAGCGCAATCATTCAGGACTTTATACATTAATGTGGATTTAGTTGTACGTTGTCTTATCTCTAAATTTTCCCAAGCAAGGGATCGAAGAACATCAGCAGACCTTATTTCATAGCTGGCGCCGGTTATAATTCTCGCTGCACGGTTTTGGAACTTTTGAAGCTTATCTTTTAGCTGTTGGTTACAGACGTCCCATAATGGACTACAATAATCAAAATACGGTTCTATCAAAGCTCTGTAAATGGTATGCAGGGTATTTATAGGAACATATGGCTTAATTCGTTGCATTGCTCCTATGCCGGCCCCAACTTTCTTACAAATCATTTCAACATGCTCTTGCCAATTAAGGTTTTCATCAAGTTTAACCCCAAGGCATGTGTATGAATGAGCAAGAGTTATGAATTGGTTATTCATCATTACTGGAATATCATAAGTCATAGTATCAGTATTATACTTTGAACCGATATACATTAATTTGGTCTTAGTTGGGTGGTGTTGCAGTTTATTTCGAGCAAGCCACTCACCGACTTTTTTCAGGTCATTATTTAGATTGTCAGTAAGTTCCTCAATAGTTTTGGCAGAAGTAGTAATTTGAGTATCATCAGCGTATAGGTGTGGCGAAGTTTTTTCGAGGCATTTGGGTAAATCATTAATATATAATAAAAACAGCAAGGGACCAAGAATTGATCCCTGCGGAACTCCGCACACAATCGTTTTAGGTGATGACATTGCACCGTTGACAATGCATGCTTGCTCTCTATTAGTTAGATAGGACTTAAACCAATCCAGTTCCACATTTTTTATTCCAAATTGATCATTCATCTTTTGCAATAAGATTGTATGATCAATAGAATCAAAAGCTTTTCTAATATCAAGGAAAACAACACCACTCAACTGACCATTATCCATGTTCTCATAAAGTGTGTCACACATTTGAATGAGTGTTGTTAAAGTTGAATGCTTAGGCCGAAAGCCAGATTGATGTTTAGATAGCAGCGAATTATCATTCAAAAACTTATAAATCTGGTTGAAAACCGATCTCTCTAGTATTTTACTGACAATAGGCAATATAGATATCGGTCGGTAATTTTCACATCTTTGTCTATCATCAGATTTAAAAATTGGCATTACCCACGCCTTTTTCCATTCATCAACATATATCCCAGTTTTGATTGAAAGATTATAAATCCATGTTAATGAAGGACCAATAACTTCCGCGGACAATTTAAGAGCTATAGCAGGGATGTTATCAATACCGGTAGACTTTGAAATTTTAATATCTCCACTTTGGCTTCATTTTTTGGATCCGAGTTCTCACTCCAGTATATATGGAGCTCGTAAGGGGCTAAGTCAAAATTGACGTGTGGCTACGTACATTAGTATAAGCATATGTCTTTTCTATCATGAAACTTATGCAAAGTTATATAGTATCCCACATCTCTTCGAATGAGTTTTAGACGTTTTTGATAATGACTTGTGGCAACCATCTTGGTGTGACATCATCAGACATCAGTTATTCACAGGCAAATTTAAGACGAAAGAGAAGCCACCGTTGATAACTCTCTATTCAGACAATATTCATCCTTCGGCCCAGCGATGAATGAGTGAAATAACACAGAAACTATAGCTATTTAACAACTATCCTTAAAGATATGAAAAACTAGCGCATATTATTCTGATAATGCAGAGCCCGGTATAGACCTGATCGGCGCTTTTTCTCTGCGAAACTCGAAATATTTCGCCTGTTTCTTTTGCATTGTGAGCAATCAAGTTGAAATAATCTAGTATTCGAGTGGTTGCAATTCAAAAGAAACCGAGAAAAAGCGCTCGTGGAATCAGGGCGTTAACACTTGTCTGACTTGCAGTATACATGAAATATTGCAATTGCAATGGGATATGCAAATTCATTTGATTTATTAGTGTGTGATATATTATAGCTTAGTTAATATAACACCTCATTTAGACTATGAAAATTAATTGCAAACACATAACAAATATTTTCTCAACGAAATGTGTAAATGAGAAATAAGAATATATTTTACTTTTGTTGTTTACAATGTTTAATTAACATTTCTAATGAGTAATGTGCATCAACGTAGCCGCGGTATAGTGACAAAGTAGAGTGGAGATCATATGGATTGAACTACTTGACTGAATACAAGTACAAATACAAAGTCGTTGTATTTTTTCAGGTAGTTGAATCCCTTATCCGTAATTTCTCAAAACCCAACCGGTAAGATTGAGTGTGGCTCACACGCGCGAGTAAAATGGCAAAAGGCAAGTTTTCCTCACCGGGTTTGCGAGGACAAAACGAAAAGGAACTTTCGACGGGCCGAAGTTATACTTATACGATTGAGTTCCCCGTCCCAGAAGAAAATCTCGTTTTAATTTACAACAAAACACTATAATTTTCCTCGATGAAATTCCCGAATATATCGTAGACGTAGAAAACAAACAGAGAATGTTTTGGGTCGGAAACAGAATAATAGATGAGTGCAGATTGTCGGCGAATCCTGCCTGCTGTATTTACTTCCGCGCTGGCGGACATAAAAATAGCAACAAATTAGGAATGAAAAGAAACTTTTGCATATAAATTACGTCGTAATATCCTGCAGGTTTTCAAATTATTAAACATCACCTTGGCTAAATGGGATTTCGCCGCTCAATTTTCTCAAACACTACTGACGTTACCATGCGAACAATCCCATTTCAACGGACATTAGGGAGCTTAATTAAAGTAAGCTTTATAAGCTTAATTGGTCAATATTTAAAGAAGAAGCATATATACAGGGTGTATCATAAAAAACGGAGTCCATCTTTTGTACTTAATAACTATCGGCCTGCTGTATTTAATAAAACGGTTTTAGGCTTATTTTAAGGACTTCTCATTTATCTTTCGAACAAATGGTCATCCGTGTCTTTAGTGCAAGTAATAACTGCACAGGAGAAAATTTAGTAAAACCTATAATTTTTAGATGCCGCTTAATTATACAAATTTACTATGATATTCCATAGTCGGTTACAATGTTTGAATTTTCTTGTTCAAACTTTAATGTTCTTGTTGCCACATCAGAAAAAAACTAGTAAAAACTTGTTAAAAACATTCTAAAAGAGATTAGGTTGTTTTATTTATTTCAAAATCCTAAATTATTTCCAGAAATCATCAAAACAATCTTATGTGCCTGCATCGTCCGAACTAACGCCATCGAATCGGGCGCAATGTAAACTCCGTAAATTAGCAAGTTAACGGCAAGCTAAAACACGCTTCAGCTGCGAATATAAACGCATTTGAAGTCAGCAAGTGAATTTAAAATAGTGTATTGGAAGCCTTTATTACTTAGTTTTTACAAGCTATTGCCAAAATGCTTCAATTTGCTCGTTTTGTTGACAAAATAAGTTATTTTAATTTCATCAAGTACCGATTTGTTATTGCATCTCAAATTTTTGACTCTCCAATCGCAATCACTTAAAATACTAATATATATATATATATATATATATATATATATATATATATATATATATATATATATATATATATATATATATATATATATATATATATATATATATATATATATATATATATATATATATATATTTATATATATATTATATAGAGCTTTTGGCCACTGAGAAAAATACGGAAAAAAATACGATATTTTTACGTGTGAAAATATCATTTGTTGTAAAACGCATTGTCACGGACGTTTTATTGTTTTTCACTGAATTTTGTTTATATAATAAACAGAAAAATACATGGGTGCTTGGTGATTGGTGCATGGTGCATGTTCAACACTCGAAATAAATCTGGTATTTCCAAGCACCCATGTATCATTCTCTATATATATGAATGTTGTGGTTTCCCATGTTGACGATTCCACTCGTGTTACGTTATGTAGCGGTTTTTGAGTTGTTTTCAGACGAGTGTATACCAAACCGGGCAAGCAGAAAATTCTACTTGACCGCGGCTGGGATTCGAACATTAACACCCATTAACAACTCCGCAGAGTGCTCAACAACACCGAACGAGGCTCTATACTCTGTAGCCAAAATGACGTATTTTCCAGAAGTTGCAGTTTGTAGATTCAATGAAAAATATGCATAATTAATAAGATAACTATATAGTGCGATGGTAATCATGGTATAAAGTATGGCGTTCCCCTGCGAAGAAATAGCCTCTTCTACAAGAGTAACAAGACTTCTTGTGGAGAACTTTACAAATTCTCTCCACCTTCTTTCGAAGCTTCTTCAACTTGTGTGTGAGATGTAGCCTACCGCGAACCAAATGCGCACTAAAGCAAGGGATTGAACGAAAAATTAAATAAAATTCCCACAGTAGCCCCAGGAAAAGCTTGATTTTTTGACAGTTGACACAGATTGGCATTCTCATTTAATTTAATCAAATGCTTTTTATCACGTATTTGACATGCAATATGCACATAAAGTGCATATGGATGTTGTCACGTCGCGGTTCACTCATATTTCAACACAAGCGATAAATACAATTCTTCTTGTGAATCTATCCTCGCTTTATGGCCTTTATCTAAACCCTCTTGCAGCCAAGTAAACTACCATAGCTAATACACATCGTAAACAATCTTAAAACATTCCTTATCGTTATATTAAATGACATTATGACAATATCAAAGATATCTTCCGTTTCCAAAGCGAAATTTGAAACGATCTCCAGTTGGGGACCGCAAAACACCCATGCACTGAGCTATGGATAATATATCAGATAAGTTTCACAAAAGCATGTTAAAAGCGTTAACTATTTATAATTAATATGCGGTTTGCTCCATTGTTTTTCTAGGTTCCGTGATATTCTGATAAAAGTTTAGCGTTGGCAATTGTGGTCGAGTCGTGATGAGAATTTAGGACAAATTCACTTGATTCCAGACATTGCCTGACATAGGTCACGTCTGTCTGAGAATAACAAGATTTGCATTTCACACTAAAGGACATTGAAGGTATGTTGTACACTGAAAATATTTTTGTGATATTTCGCGATATTTCAAAGTCATCAGATTTAATTCTTTGAATGATGCAATTGATCGTTAGACAGATTTAGGAACAGACGATCAGGCGACGCGGTCTCAAATTCAGCTCAAGATTGAGGCTAAGGGACTTGATTACGGAAATAAATTGAAGCTCTTTAAAACAACCTTATACAATGGGCTTATTTTGAGCCACGATCCGGTGTCTGCTATACTAGCATTCACGTTGTCGTTGCTCCAAAGACGTGAAAATCTTAGTTTAACGTTGTATTCAGAACGACAACGTTGTTGAGGATACCCTGCCCCTGGGACTGTAAATTATTCAAACTTTTTGTTTTGCACGAAGAATTTCTTCGTTTCGAAGGTGCGTCTTTCAGTTTGCGTCGTGAGTTTTCCAAATAACTCTATTAATATTGATGCAATGACTACATTTCGCGTGTTAACCAGGGCCTATTTTAAGAATTTTCCAAATCCACACACTTCAGAGAATGCCACTTGACGAGATTTCGAAGTGCCCACTGTTCAACGGCAGTAGACAAAATTTCCGGACGATTTTGAAATCGAAAATGCCATTTCCTCTGCTGGAAATTTTATTTATGATGGTTTATGAAAGGTTGCAAATCTCGAAGAACATGCATGCAGACATGCACGTCCAGAATTTGATGGATGCATGAGAATGAAAACTAGTTATTTACATTGTCCGCATTGATTTGTGACTTTTCATGTTCCTTAACTTATTTCCCGATCTTTTAGCCTAACTTAGGTTTACAATTTGCCCAACTTTAATTTATCTGGGGGGACAGCTGCGCCCCTCGTCTCGTTCGCTTATGATGTATAGAGTTTACCTACTAAAATCTAGTGTGATCAGTGATCTTTACCAGAAATGTGACGTGTGAATAGATCTGGTGTGTGTAACCTTTTAACCTTGGTTTTCTCATCAAGGTCTCCGAGACAACTTTATAAAGCATCTGTTATTACAATAATTTACAACAAACGAGGAAAAGACTATATAACAATTACTAAGAATCCGAAGCATGTTAATTAAAGAGCTTACAGTAGATCCAACATGAGAGGGGGCCATTATAGGAGCCCCGAACTGTGCAAAGGAGAGGTCATTCATTTTTGGGTCGCTCTTGGGGACATTGACTGGCCGGGGCGAATCATACAGACAGGCAAAGGTATGTCTACACCACAGAATAGAGACATACAGAAGGACGACTTAACTCTTGGTTTTGCCTATGATTTTGGCGCTGACCGTTGCAATTCGACATCAAAATCATCCTAGCCAGTACGCTTATGAGAGTATTCACCCCCCTGAAAATATTCAAAATGGCGGACGTTCAGAGACCATGGCGACAGCATTTTGATGACGAAAAATTGCGTGGCAATTATGGTTTTTTGGCTGGCTCTATTCTGTCACAGAATAAGGAAGATACAGCAGAAGCGTAACTCTAGTCGTTTCCCTTATTGTTTTACGTCTACGAAAATTTTAACTCGCTCACGCCAATCCACGGCATCGATCGCGTGATTGATGACGAATCGCTTGTAAAAACGCGGACAAATATTTGCTTGAGTTACGCTTCTTGTAAACATACCTTAAATGAATTGTCATGCTAACTTCCCCCTATTTTTTTCTCCAGGTAGAATTATTGGACGGTTCCTAAAGCAACAGAAGGACAGAATAAAAATTTAATTTAATAACCTGCACAGATCACAGCTAAAACTCTCCATAATTTTGAAGGAATCAATTAATCACATCGGACGTCAAATAAAGGCACGCGTTATTTGAAATGCACTCAATATTGTCAAATTTATGGCGCGCTTAATATGATATAAATTAACCCACAGAAACTATAGGCGGCATTTTGGAATAGCTAGCAATAATAGAACAAATTTAATTAAACAGACGCGGGCGCGCGCTGTCTAAAATGTTCTGTATACTGTCAGATTATGTGCAGACGTTGTGCGCCGCAGAGATATGGAATTTAATATTGAATAGCTAAAAAGTTAATCACATAGTTATTCATTGGGGTTTGGGCGTCAAACGCTATGTGGTCCAATGTCTGTGTCTAAATACAGGGTGCGCGCGCTATCTGAAATGTACTTAATATTGTCAGGTGTATTGCGTGCCTAACGTGATAACGATTTTCCTTATTTAGCTTAAGACGTTGCGTAGTGAATTGCAAGAAGGCTGACGCAGAGACGCAGACGTTACAAGTGGCGCATATTGGAAAAGGATCAGTGGCTTCTTCGCTCTTCAGAGCGGAAGCACTTCCCTATCAATTACAGAAGTTATTAAAGATTCGCCAATAATGTTCTAAATCTCAAGCTTCAATCATCACCGCACTCGTACACAAACGAGATAACTTTGTTTGAAGTTTGGATCTGGCCACAAGAGCCTTATGTTCTGTTTTCTAATACTATCACTTGTCTTGGTCGTACTGTTACTGCTCAAGCTGAAATATGACAACAGAGACGTGGAATTCAAAGGAGTATTTTACCACAAACAATGTAGGCTTTCGCAATTTCTGCTTCATAAATGGACGACCATAGATGAGCCATATAGGCCGACATTCTGGGCGACAAATGGCCATATTCAAACGCTCTTACATCTGCTCTGGGCAAAAGTTCCTATACGCTGGCGAAGAGAGTATTTACAACTAGAAGACCAAGGCGTTGTTGCTTTAGATTGGATTTCAACGGATAATGATTATATGTTGAACTCCGGTAGCCCCATTTTGGTTATAATACCTGGCCTAACGTGCGGTGCGCAAGAGGTTTCACCGTTATGTCGGAAGGCGCAAGAGTATGGTTTTAGATGTGTTGTTTTTAATCGCCGGGGTCATGGAGGATCGGTGTTGACTACAGCATGCTTGCAAAATTCATGGGAAGGCAAAGAACTAGACGAAGTTATATCGTATATACATTGCGTGTTCTCCTGCGCGAAAATCGTTGCGGTTGCTTATTCATCTGGGGCTTCGCTACTGCTTTCGTATTTGGAGGAGTTTCGGAAGTCGCCTCTATCCGGCGCTGTTTGTATATCACCTAGTTACGAAATGGATAAAGGAATGGAGAACAGTCTACCGCCAATCTATGATTACATAATGACTAAACGTTTAGTGTGTTTACTTCGGCAGCATCTAGGCCTGTCTAGCATTATTAACTTGGAATCTGCGTTACAGAGCGCCAATATACGCGAGTTTAACGAGCGGGTCTATGAACCGTTGATGGGCCTGAATGGTTTTCGCTGCACGTATGAGAATCAATTGAATAACAACTTTAATAATGTCTCTCGCATTCGCGTACCGACGTTGTGCATAAGCGCGCTCGACGATCCGATTTCTAGCGCCGAGTTTATACCGTATAGTCTTTTTAAGAATTCTTCAAATTTTTTCCTAATGACGTGTGAGCGAGGTGGACATTGCGGGTTTTACCATGGCAACGCTGGCGTGAGCTCGTGGGCGGATCAGATGTCGTGCTCGTTCCTTGACTCTATGATTCATTTCAACCTACGGAAAACCGTCGAGAACTCGGGACCTTCGTTGTTCGCGCAAGTCACCAGGGATCGTAGTTATACACAGTAGAGACACAGAATAAAGACATACAGAAGTGTAACTTCCATTACAAAACCGTAAGGCGCTTTCACCGAAATAGCTGGCGGCCATGTTCTTAGCAAGTGCCCTAAAGAGAGGCATTCACCCCCCTGGAATATTAAATTTTCAATATGTTT